TTTTTCACTGGGCTAGAATTTAGTAAGATGAGGATTGCTTCAATTATCCCAGCTCTAGACACAGATTACTTTCTCAGACAGGCAAACAGAGTAGGGGTGGAGGTAAGCATATATAGGAGGTACAGCTTCTTAAGTGTTAATGATCCATACAGTCTTGCTAGCAATGACACTTATGCAGATTGCTTAGATTTCTCTCTACATAAAGAAAGTTGAGGGGTTACATCTTCTGTTGCTCCAGTTTGAATTTGTTGATGCTAAAAATTCAAGAAGAAATTATTTTAATGAAGTAAAATACCGATTGATGCTGAAATAATTTTGTGGTATTATAGCTAGCAACCAGAATGTGACAGAATATTTGAGTGGATCAGAACGGGAGAATAAGGGGAGTAGTCAGTTAGTGACTGGGTTTCCTTTCATTACTGGTCTTCCCAATCTTCAGCACAGTATTTTTTGACTTCAAATAAAAATGGAACAAAATTGTCTTCGGTACCATTAGAGGAAGGGAATGTAAGACCTTATGAAACCCATATTGTAAGGAGCGAGACACTTCAGTACCTGATCAGAGTGGATAAGGAATACTGCTTGGTGGGAGTAGGTCATCTGTGTATTGAAGAGGCATTTGAAATAGTATAAAAATATGGACTATGGCTCTGCATCTGATGAATCTGCATGTTTGGGAGAACTATCACCATAAAGTTGTGTAAGGAAAGTTCTCTAAAACGGAAGCTGGTTCGGTGGTAAAGTGCCAGTGTTGAACCATACAAACTGATAAAAAAGTTCTGAAGTCTCAGCATCAATGTATTTTCTATGTTGAGCTCACAAACAGCACTGCTTTAACCGATAAAGTACTCTTCAGGTGTGGTGTAAACTTAGAATTTATGAATCCAAACCCAGAGTATGATATGGGAAGATTGCTGTCTGCTTAACTGGAGCCTCTCAGGAGACATGAGCACCTTATTACTGTTGAAGTAAATGGGAGCTAGTAAAAAAAAGATTTACAGCATTTATTAGTGTCTTATAATAGAGTTGTTTAGAATATTTTCCACCATTCCTGCAAATAAATAAGAATTAAATAGGAAGATACAAGTAAGTTTGTTCTTGGTGAAACAAAATTATGATGGCAACACTTCTTTAAAGTCTGTTTAAAAGCCCTGTAATACTGACTGACTCTTGCTTCAATGGCTTCATAGATCTGAAGGTATTAAAAGTGGTAAATGCTATGGTTTATTGTTTTAATGTGAATTGCACAGTTTCTCCAGGTTGTTTCTTAGCATGACAACTCACTCCTAGTAAACTGAGGAAGAGCACATTCTTTAGTTCTATTTTTTCCATCCTAAGTGGCTGCATCAGCCATTTTGACTTCAAAAGGTGTTTCTGTTCTGCAGAGGGGATACTAAATATCCAAACCAAGAATTTTCCTATATAATAGTCAGCTGTGCCTTCTGTATTTACCTTGACTCCACAACAAGAATCTGTAATTGTTTGAGCTAACATTGAGTCCATTCTAGGAAGATACTGGGGGAGGGTTGTGGGGTTTTTTTGTTTGGGTTTGTTTTTTGTGGGGTTTTTTTGGAAAGGCCAGATTTGAATGACGTTTTTCTGTCTACAGTTTTTATAGCAAATTGGGCAGTTTCCTACTTGAATTAAATGAACTTGCCCTGTGTGCTATATGCCTCAGGCAAATTGTATTTATTTTATTGCTTATATTTATACCTTCAAATCTGGGTTAGAATCTTCTAGTTGTAGGTGGAAGAAGTGAAATAAGTCCCGTGGCAGAGCTCAGGTTAACTGCAGAATGAATCCAACTTAAATTTTGGATCCATCTTAACCAATTTCATGTTTTGCTGTAACTGTTACTGTGGTCCTTACCTGTGCTTATGAAGTCACTAGTACTTGAAGCTGCAGTAGTGCTTGGAACACAAAAGTACCTCAAGTCCTTGCTTGGTTCATGTTACTCCTTTCCTGTTTATCCTCCTTCTGTGACAGTGAAAATGAAATAATCTCCCTCATGACATATCCCATATCCCCATCCTTGCCTTCCCTCTTGCAAGTTCTTGAGGTATTGATCCGTGTCACACTTTGAGAACACTGTGCATTGATTTTTGTTGCTGAATTTCAAGCCAGTAGGTTTGTTGCTTCTTTTTGCCCATTGATGGCAGTGGCAACTGAGGAACGTAAGCCACTTCCGTAGGACTTTTTCCTCTGAAATTCTTGTTTCCCATTGTTGTCTAGGTAGAAATTGATGGTAGCTGGCCTTTGAGCTGAGGGTGTTGTTTATCAGGAAGGCCAGTACCATCTAGCTTGTCCTGCTCTCTCTATCTATGGATGGTAGAAATGTGTTGCTGTTGGGGTTTTGTTCCTTGTGAATGAAGTCATTTGTCACCTGTTAACTTCCCATTCTAGATATTGCCATAACCTTCTATGGTGAGTTGATAGGGCTTTAGGTCAGGGATTGTCTCTCCTCCTCTATTAATATATTTCTTAGCCCAGTGAGGCTCATGTGTGGTTTTGGGACTCGTAGGCATCACTACAATGGATATCATTAACAGTAATCTCTCTACTACTAAGACTTATTTTTGAGCTATTCTATGCAGAATCATGTCACAAATGAAATACCCATTAATGTCTTAAAGTATTTGGGGCAGGGAAAGAATATGAAATGTAGGCATAGAAAAAAAGACCATTATTTAATACAGGACATAATTATGTTATTTTTCATTATGCATTGATGCTTTCTGACCTAGTTTTAGCAACATGACTTTCTCCAAAACAGTTTGACAACCAAATTAGAAGTTTAGTTCCAACTCTTACTATTTATAACTTGGTTATATTTACTAGCAGAAAGTAAAGCTTTGAAGGAACTGTTGGAAAACAGACAGAGTAAATATTAAACAAGAGCTCAGTTATTGTTGAGCTCTGTCACTTAAACAGCTGTATTGACACTTTGCTTTTTAGACAACTCAGTACAATGGGTTTAGTTTGGTAAACATCAAAGTGTGTTGGTTTTATATAGAAGCTGTGTATGAACACCCTGAACTGCCTGACGATAGAGCTGGCAGAGAACTGACTCTTTAATTCAGTTTTAAGGCAAAGTGCAATCACAACAATAACAGGAGGCTCTTAGTGTCTTGGTCTGTTCTAGGCTTTCTTCATTTAGCTTCATTTAGCTGCTAATGGATTCAGGACTCTGGTTCTGATCTTGCAGCTCACCATGATGTCTCTGGGTGGCATATAATTGTTTGACAGTACAGTGAAGTTTGGTCTATTTGGGAAACCTGTGGAAGTTACTTTGAAGGAGAAACTGAAGTACACTTCTAACTATTAAAAAACTTGCTTGGTCGTTATTACTGACCAGCTTGTTGAAACAGCATTAATGAAACAGCATTTACCTTAAAAAAAAAACAACAAAACACAACAAAAACAAAAACAAAAACCCACAACAAACCACAAAAACAAACAAACAAAACCCCCCAAACAAAACAACAACCAACCCCAAAACCAAAAAAACAAACAAAAAAACCCAAACAACAAACCCCCAAACAAAACAACAACCAACAACCAACCCCAAAACCAACATTTAAAAACAAAAAAAGCATCCTTTGGACCGTATCAACAAAAAAGACTTTAATTGCTCAGTGGACTTGTTAAGATCTAACTAACAATTTTTGCCATTCCAGGATCACCAACCTTTTGCAAATGCTCACGACGTGCTGGCTCGTTCTCGGAGCCGTGCCAACGTGTTGAACAAGGTGGAGTATGCCCAGCAGCGTTGGAAGTTACAGGTCCAAGAGCAACGCAAATCTGTCTTTGACCGTCACGTTGTGCTGAGTTAATTATTGTGTCTCAGTCAAATAACTCCGGCCAAGTAAAAGTGGACTAATTGAAAGAGCTGACTTAACGTCTTCCTGATCCTGCCAATTCAGAAGGGTTTTCTTGAATGGTTCTTTGCTGATTTTAAAAATATTAAGGAAAAAAAAAAAAGTATTTGAACTTTGAAGGAATGTACTGGAGTGGAAGCAATTTAAAAAGATTAGTTAACCAAAAGGTAAAATCTTTACATTTTCAAATGGCTTTTACTAACGAAACTGAAATGAAAATAAACCCTAAGATGTCTTGGGTTTCCACTGTGGTACCTTATTTACAGTTGTGACTTCATGGTGGTTTTTAACTATATATTTCTCTCTACTATTTATGTGGTTAAAAAGTACCTGGGAACACAGTACAACTCACTAATCACTTTATGTAAAGACCTTTTGTAAATATATTTGGATTTTCTGCTAACTAATGCTAGGTACTGGAAATCTGAATCTTGCAGCGTAGTTTTCATATTGGAGAATGAAACCCTGATTGGCTGTATTCATCATTTGGTTTCTTGCACTCGTACTTTCAAGATGCTTGTATGTCAAGTGATGTTTGCAGATTTAAGGAAAAACTTAAATGGACACTGACTCTTTGAGCTGCACACTTAAAGTACTGTGATGTAGATAAATTCAAATGCAGTGCGTATCAAGACAGTGTTGATATTTTGTTCTATTTTGCTTTAATAGCTTAATATATTGTATGTGTATGATATCTCTTAAAAAAATCTTCTCCCTTTCTTTTCATGGGTAAAGTCTCAGGAGTTAGTATATGACGAAATATTTATTATAAAAAATCTTTCTGCATTTGTCTGGATTGATGGTGTAAGGCACATACTTTCTCTAGCACCTGTCATCTTGGGAGTTAGGTGTATTTTTTTATCTGTGATTCTGTACTCATCTCTCTTAAGAGTTACACAGTTGCTAGATAACTAACTTTCATATATCCCCTTTGGAATGTAACAATTAAAGATAAAACTGATTTTTGAAAAACAGATGTGCATTATCTATATGTCATCATTTTTCTCCCTCGTTACCCTGCATGTAAATTCCATCTATAAAAGCACTTCTCTGAAAATGCTTCGGAGTGGAAATACGCACTTGTTCAGTGCTTAGATGAAGGAAAGAAAGGCTCACCAAATTGCTAATTGAAAAACGTCTTTAATCCCTGACTCTAATTTAGCTGTGCATATGTAGTTACATTATTGTCATATACAGTTTTCTGTTACAGTGTGGAAGGAAACAGTATATGTTGCCTAGTGCCTTTTTGGCCCGCTTAGCCCATGGCCTGGGGCTGGAGGTGGATCACCAGGACCAAAAAAAATAAATCTAGACCTGGGTTCAGTTACTGTGTTCAACATCCTACCCTGATGAGTCAATAAGTGGTTATGACAGCGATGTATCTAGGGTGCCCAAAAGAAAAATAATGTAATTTGTTTGTTGCAGACATGCCTGTCTATCAGTTCTAGTAGATGCTCTACGTCTTGGTTGCCTTTCTGATGAGGCCTGAAGCTGGTGTGGGAAGGAGGATGCAGAATTGTTGTGGCCCCACACAAGGGCACCAGAAGCAGAATGCTTTCTTTGGGGGCTGACAGTCCCAAGAAGACAAGACTGGGTTTTTGTAGCAGTCTTGGTAGCAGATCAATTTTTCTCATCTGACAGTGTCTTCTGAAAGTTTTAAGCTAAGCTGGTTTGGTTTAGGATTTTTTGTGTGGTTTTACTTTGATCAATAGAAGGGCCAGTTAGTGAGATAGTCTAAAGTGTCAAGGAAATCCTGTAAAATGTAGTTTTGAAGTTATGTGCCCTATTCCCTTGCACCTGTACAACTGGACAGCTATATTCTGACACATGCAGCACCTATATACCTATATATATTTGATGATACAGACTGATTGTTCCTTACTGTGTTTTGAAGTTTAAACAAAACTTTAAAATGTTTGTTTTGGTACTGATTGCTCACTGTTTTCAAGTTTTGTCTTGCCTAACCTCCATAAGTGCTTTATTAGAGACCTTTTATATGGCGTAATACTTCTTAACACTAGGACTTTCCCCAAAGAAGTAAACAAAGTGCATTCCTGATGTCTTTTTCATGTAATCTGGTTGTGTTCGATACAGTTTTAAAATTTCTAGCCTGCAATGCCAAGTTTTGTTGCCATCATAGCTGTGGTGTGGGTGGAAAAGCCAAACCAGAAATGAGCAGATCTAACTGTAAGCTACTTTGCATGTTGTCAATTGACTATAAATTGCAGCAGTCATTGACTCAACGGAAGGAGCTACATAATTCAGGTAAGAGACTTGCGTGTTGCTGTATCTAGCAACAGATCTTCACTGAATATCAATGTTTTTGTAAGTCACTTGTACCAGCTATTCAGTAACAGTGCTTCTGTAGCTTTTTAATGAATCCTGTTTTAATATGATCTCTTACTAAATAAGGTGTAAGAAGAATGGAACGTTAACTTCTTTTTTTTTTTTTAATATCATTCAGATATTTTCAGGTATTATTCATCAGTCTTAAAATAGCACGTCTTGTTTCCTTGGATTTTACTTTCATCTGAAGATTGGTGAGTCTCTAGTCTGAAAGGAAAACGATCTTAACAGTGGCATTTTGTGCTTCGTGCAGGTAATAAGGTAGCAGATAACTGGTTATGTGATGCTATTAGGCAGCTGAAGTGTCAGTACTAAAACAACAATTGCTGCAAGTATCTTTTTGAGAGGTTCTGTTGGTTTTGGTTTCTTGCTCTGTAGTGATATTTTGCTATGAAGTTGTGGGTTTTTTTGCTATGTAACATTCTTTTCCTAAGATAATGATTTAAAGTTGTTAACAGTAGAAAGTTTTTAGGCAATAATCCAACCTGTGTAAGTAGAAAAGGGAAAGATGACTGTCTACTGTTTGCATTTTATAACTAGTATATATTCACCTCTGATTTTCTACATGTATATTAATGTAAAATGGATGTGTGCATGTGACTTCCTCTCCTGTCCTAATGGCATGCTATAAATGAATTCTTAACTCATAGGATTTTTGTTGTGGGATCTATGTGCATTAGAAAAAGAGATGCCACTTGATACAGAGGCCATCTGTACCATCTGAAAGGTCCCTTCCAACCTAAGCAATTCCATGATTCAGTGTTTCTGGTAACCTAGTTTAATGTTCAGGTGTGGTTTTTTCCATTTTAGAGGGTGTAAAATAGCCTAAGTGTTTTAGGCAGCAACGTGTAGATGTGGAATTGGATGGGTGAGTAAGAGCAGTTTTGGATAAATTCTCTGTAGGCAAGTGTTGCTTGCAATCAGTGAGGATGTTTCACAGTAATTCTTTAAAAAATAGCTAGTTATTTAACATTTATTTTAAAGTAGCTCTTAAGTAACAGTCATTACAGTTATGCTGCTATTTAGCTGTTTGAATAATGATATTGAGAAGGCACGATGATGTACCTTCCTATAAAACACTGCAATGTTATTTTTCTAGTAAAGATATAAGGGTGATTTGAGTAGTTAGACCTGCTGTGGTGTTGCTCTGAAGAGGAGGTATGTGTTTTTAGTAGGCCAGTCTGAATTACAGGTTTCTAGCAGTGCTTCAAGCACTATGTGCAGTCCTTTCTTAGTAAAATAATTTTTATTGGAACAATATTATCAGGATGTGTTTCTTTCCTCAAAGAAATTGATTATTTCATAATCTTCTCTCAGTGGGTTTGTATTTAATATTTCATATCTGTGTTTAATATGCAGGTGAGTGCAGAAGAAGCATGAGGACCCAAGGAGATAGCAGGTTCAGCAGAAATTAATCCCCTAAACTTTTTGTAAGACTTCTTGTATAGAATGGATTTGATGCTTGACAGAGATAAAATTAAGATTGAGATCCATTCCCTGCACAAGTTTTCCATCTAATTAAGATAGTATAGAGAATGAGACATCAAACGAATAGACAGAAAAAGCAATTTTTGGTATGGCAGGGAGTCTGTTACTGGAGTTGTAGACATAATTTTTTTACAGGGAGGAGAAGGGGGTCAAGAGGATGCCTTAGATGTTGACCTGCTGTGATTATTGTCTGTAGAGATGTAAATTTTTGAGGATTCATAGCAAGCTATACCTATGTGGGGTATAAAAAGGTAGATCTTAATTTCTAAAGCTGAGGTGAAAGGAGACTGCTGTTTCCTTTAGGAAGCTTTAATGGCTTTATTTTCTTAACATTTGTTGTAAAATGTTTTAATTGGTGTTGCTGACTTGCACCCCTTGTATTTTCAAATGGGACATTATCCGCTTTATGCAACTGTCTTCAACACTGTTCTGAAATGTCACAAATGCCTTAAAAGTCTCTTCTGGAAAATGCCAGTAATGCCTGGTGTTGGTAAGGTGACTGTTTTTCCTACTGTTCAGCACGAGTTGTTTAAACTATTATGTGATTATGCATTTCCAGGTTAAATGCAAAACCTGATGGATGGCAAAAGCTACCGTAACCTGATGGACAAGTTGTCCGTCTGTGCTGAGACTCAACACATACAGCTGGGTAGACCTTTCTGTGCTGACCCCGTGGTCACGTTTCACCTGTATCCAGAAACACCAAACCAGGTGGCTTGTTCTGAAGATTTGTCATTCCTTCCTTTCATGTCAGAGCACCTTGTGATGGAGAACTTCTACGCCGAGCCCGGCGCCTTCCCCTTCCAGATGCCCCATGGCAATTACCGCAGAAGTGAGTACTCCTACGGGCCAGCTTTCATCAGGAAGAGGAATGAGAGGGAAAGACAGAGGGTTAAATGTGTCAATGAAGGTTATGCTAAACTGAGGCATCACCTGCCTAAGGAATATGTGGAGAAAAGGCTCAGCAAAGTAGAGACACTCCGTGCTGCGATAAAATACATCAGCTACCTACAGTCTGTTCTCTACAGCGATCCTGTGGTGGCAGAACAAAACGTCGTGGAGCCAAGCCAAGCACCTAAAGCAATTAACAAACAGAACCAGTTTTTGAAGACTATCTGAACCGTTCTACACCAAGTAAAAGGTATCCTGTCTGGGAACACAGTAGCCACTATATTATTAATGACCAGCCTGTTCCTAGCACGTCTTAGGAACAGATCATAGCATGCGTCAGTATCAGCCCACAGAGAAGAGTTCTAATTTTGCAGATAGTAACTATACTTACAGGTGAAAAAGACAAGTGGGGAAATCACATCTGAATGGCCTAAGTTGGTTAATTTATGGAAATGGGAAAACACTTCTAAAATTGTCACCAAACCAAAAATGTAATACCTATATGTGTGAAGTAACTGTATGTATCATCAAAACCTGCATGCTTTAAAATAAAATCTTTCTGTTGATGGGACTCAGATTCCTCTTATTTTCTGTAATGTTACTGGTTTACTCTCACATGTGCTTTCTTAAAAGATTTTTGTTCCAATTGCCAGTGTTAAAAGGTTTTTTTAAAGGTTCCCAGGAATGTTGCAAGATGGCAGCAGAAATGATAGCTTAGTTTAAAAGGGGAAAATAAAAAGAGGAGGGTAGCAGCTCTCTGAAGTGTGGTTACTGAACATAGGAAGAGCATAACGTCTTGCAAGTGCTGTTCCATCCTTATTAATGAATATTTTAATCCCATTAAAACCTGTTGATTTAGCCTAATTTCTTTTGAAAATTGGTTTCTTCTTCAGTTGTCAGTGCCCTTAAAAATTACTAGGACTGCTTACACAATACACAGTATAAAGAGGGTTAGCAAGGTCTTGACCTTGGTGAAAAAATAATCCCAGGAGAGAAATTGTGTGGGACTTTATTATTTTATTAAATTATATTATTTTATTTATTTAAAGTAATATTTATTACTTTATTATTGCTGATAATGGTTAAGGTCTGGGGTAGTCTTCGCTGATCTCCCAGTCTGTTCCTCTGTACTATTGATCATTTCAGCTAAGTGGTCAACCACAGATTTCTGTGAAGGTGGTGAATAGAGTTTAGCTCATAGCTGGCAAAGTGTTCTTAGCATTTCCTGTATGTAAAGGAATTGTATTTTTGATATTAAACAATTCTGCTGACGGCCTGAGAGCAGGTAGTCTGTGGGTGCAGCAGAATGTAGAGAAAATGGTTACAGACTTCCTAAGTGCTGTATTCTTGTCCCTGCCTGCAAGCATTCTGTTGTCTTGTTTTTATACCAGTGAATTGAAAAATGCCTACAAAATGCCAATAAGTATTTCTCCCCCCCCAAAAAAAAAAAGAATGGAAGAAAAAGGGTTAACATTTGTTAAGGAGAATATGAAGATTAGAGATTGACAGATTCAACAGAGTTGGAAGGGACCTCTAGAGATCATCTAGTCCAACTCCAATGCTAAGCAGGATTGCCCAGAGCACATCACTTGGGACTGCATCAAGGCAGGTCTTGAAAATCTCCAGAGAATCACACAGGTGAATTTCTGCGATTAGAGATTCACAGATTCAACAGAGTTGGAAGGGACCTCTAGAGATCATCTAGTCCAACTCCAATGCTAAGCAGGATTGCCTAGAGCACATTACTTGGGACTGCATCAAGACGGGTCTTGAAAATCTCCAGAGAGTCACACAGGTGAATTTCTGCATTGTATTCTGATGTGGTTTTGATATGCTCTTTGCAGGGAAATGGTAAAACTCATGAATCCCTCTCCTTTGTTGTGAAACGGGAAAATTTGTAAGGCGATTTGACCTCAGCTCGGATTAGCTTTGACCTTTCTGCCCACATTTCAAACCAATGCATTTGTCACACCCTGTGGTGGTGGCCTTTTTTCTTTTTTTCCTACATCTGAACTGTTGCTTAGTATGATGCTATTTTTTTGCCCTGCATTAGTAGGCAGGAAGCCTAGGTGCCACTGTACCCTCTCATAATCCCTTGTCTGCCCCTGCGGTCTTTCAGTGCAGTATCTAGATCAACAGGGAGCTGAAAATTGAGTGGATGGACCTCTCTGTAGTCACATTCCACTGATTTTTAACCAGTAAGGGCAGGATGTCTGATCCTGGTAGTAATGACTGTGGTGACCTCTGACTGTGGAAACCTCCGTAGCAACTAGGAAACACTGGCAGCAAACGGCTTCCTGCATCAAACAGGCAAAAGGGTGAGATTTCTGCATCGGGACTAAACCCAAATTGACCAGGTATAAATAGGCTTTAATGTAGAATTGATAGTTGCATTTCTTCACAAAGTATTACTGACTCTGGCTTGGTTCGGTTTATAATCGGGGAGTTTGTATGGTTGTGAAACAAGTGAATATATTGTGTTGATTTCCTGACTTAAAGGTGCATTTTGCATGAGTTAATCTGCTATTCTTGCTGGGTTTGGTGTGCTAATTTTCTGAAACTACGTATATCCAGAAATTCTGGTAAATAGGGCTGCTAGCATCTCCCCGAGAGAAGAGACAAAATAACATTTAAACATAATATGAGCTCTTAAACTGTATTTTGTAAAGTAAATTAGGCACTTAAATTGTATGTGTTGTTGAATTTCCATGCAAATTTTACCCTAAACGTTTCTAAGCAATATTAAATAAGAAAAGGAAAAAAGGAGTGGAGGCTTGTCTGCTAGATCTTGTCAGATCACCGGAGATAGCAACACATCATCAATCTTACCCTGACAGCCTCTGAATAGTTACTGCTTGTCACATCTCAGCATCTCATTCTTCCTCATGGCAAGTCATAATCCTAATGTTATAAAACATGACAGGCCAGCTGAAAGATCAAAATATTTTCTCTTAATACATCACTGTAAATAAAACAAGTAACAGGCAACTGTAATCTAACATCATGTTCAAGAACTGTCAGGTTTACTCAGCTTGTCAACTGCAGCTGTAGTTTCTGTCTCAGCTTGTAAAATAGGGAAGGTTTGGCTGGGACTGTCTACAAAGAAATCTTTAGAGGCGAGTTTAGGTATAAGAAAGGAGAGCTGGATATTAAGAGGGAAACAAAAGCTGGAGGGAGGTGAATGCTATTGCTTTCCTGGAGATTTTCATGGCATTTCTAGTTTCCATGGGTGCTTTTCTCCCTCTGCCAGCTCAGGATTTGGATAACTGAAGATCAGTGAAGGCAGTGATAGGGGTTTGTCTCACCAAATGCCAGTCTGGATACTTTGAATTCATTCTTTTAAAATAAAAATAAATAAAAGCTAGTGAGATAGATTGGAAAGCACTTGCTTGTGCTAGAAAATGCCACTATGTTGTCTCTTTTCTTTTCAGCTACCAACAGCTCATGACTGAGTCCCGCAGGCAGCTGCTTTTGCAAGAATGGCTCATTGGGAAGGGTTCCTGCCTGGGGAACCTCCTGCCTCACAGGCATTGCAGTGCTCTGCCAGCTCTGGACAAATTTTCGTGCCCCAGTGTCATCCCTGCTGTCAAACCCTGCTGCTGCAGCTCTTTTGTGGTGCATCCTGCCTGGACCGTCGAGCCCCTTGCTCCCCAGAGGTAACATCAAGTTCCTGTTTGGGTCTGTGATTCGTTCTTTTTCGTGACATCTAAGAGGATAAAACAGCCCGGTGTGTCAGATTAATAAATTAGCAGCTTGAACATCATTTGCCTTTTCCTTTCTCCTGCGCTGAGAGTTTTTCAGATTGTATTAACTGAAGTGATTTGCTACCTTGGAGATTATGGAAAGCAAAGCCTGAGCAAACCTCCTATCAAGGAAACGTTCCTTTGATGTTATTTGGATAAATAAAAGCACTTTGTGTTAGCAGCCACCTTCTGGGAAATGTTTCTAATGCTTTGTGATGGGATTATTTTTCCTGCATTGAACTTGAACCTGTCATCAACCGGCAGATTTGTTGTTTACTTTTCTACTTTGCTGTTGATCCCTGGGTGCCCCAATATACCCCTTACACTCCTGGGCTGTGCTCCCTGCTGGAGATGGATCCTCTCTCTCTCCTGCTCTGCCTCATGTTGCATTGGCTTGCCATCTAAACAGCAAAGGAGCTAGTGCAGGTCATGCTGGCCCAGGATTCCAGCATTCCTCTAAACCCAAAAATGAAGTGATCTGAGTAAAAACAGGCACTGATGATTTTTTTTTTTCTCCAAAAGCAAGGAATCGTCCCAGGATAAGCAAGTTTTCTGTTTCTTCCCACAGGCCAAGGTGGAATGATCCAGTGAGTAAAAACAGGCACTGATGATTTTTTTTTCTCCAAAAGCAAGGAATTGTCCCAGGACAAGCAAGTTTTCTGTTTCTTCCCACAGGCCAAGGTGGAATGATCCAGTTCTTAAATCTTACATGATTTTTTTTTTTTGTTCATGACCTACAGAAGCCATTTCAGCGCTGACCCATTTTCTTTTCTTCAAGGTGCCAATGGATTAACCCCTGCCTCTCCTCCCCTGGCCCAGCATGGAAGAGGCTGAGTGCATCTGGGAGATCAGTGGGCTTAGACAGCAACGTCCCTGTGCTGGTGAGAGGGGAACAAGATGGATTTTATTACCGTGGCACAGTGAAGGAGGAGGTAGAGGTGAGTAGCAGTTGCTGTGCAGTAGTCGTGAGCGTCCAGTCCACCAGAAGTCCTCATGCACCACCTGAGTTTAGTGTTGCGGTTTTGATTTTGGCTGGTGCATCTTTAGAGAACAGATCACTAAGAAAGCTTATGCTCGTAGTTATGTTAAGGGCAACGAAACTAGTGAAGGGCCTGGAGGGCAAATCATATGAAGAGCAGCTGAAGGAGCTGGGACTGTTTAGTTTGAGGAAGAGGAGGCTGAGGGGAGACCTCATCACTCTCTACAACTACTTGAAAGGACACTGTAGAGAGGTTGGTGCTGGTCTCTTCTCACAGGTAATTAACAATAGAACGAGAGGGAACGGCTTCAAGCTCTAACAGGGTAGGTTTAGACTGAACATTAGGAAGGAATTTTTCACAGAAAGAGTGGTCGGGCATTGGAACAGGCTGCCCAGGGAGGGGGTGGAGTGCCCATCCCCTGAGGTG